CTGCAAAGAGCCGGTGGTCTACCCCTGGATGAAGAAAGTCCATGTAAGCACGGGTAAGTGAGCCGAAGCGCTTCGCTTTATACCGAGTAGCACCTCAAAGTCTTGTAGAAATCCTATTGCACCAGTTGTAAAATAACCATTCGCGGAGATTTACGATCGCCTGTTTGCAGAGCGGTATAATTACATCCTCCATAAATTTTTATTGCTCTGCTTGGCCATGTGCCTTTGAAGTCTCTGTTACCATCCTCCTCCAATTTCTTGCAGGCTACTTTTTTTTTATGGCTGTTGAATCTTCATAAGTTAAGTTTTATGTTTTCGTTTCTATAATTCTTTGATTCTATGATTATGTTTATGCTAATAAAACTGCTTTTATTACTTTTTTTTTTTTTTAAGTGCGATATTTAATAAAAGGGAGTGTCTACGTTTGCCTGTTTGCATGAGTGCAGGGGGAACTTTAAGATTTGGGGATACTACAGTGATGCTCAAGTAGAGGGGTGTGTGTATATACATGTGTGTGTGTATATACACACGTAGAGGGCAAGGAAAATGTGTCTAAGGGACCTTATAAAAACGTTTAGACAGGAATACACGTCAAGCAGCAAGGATGGAGGTGGAGATTTGCAGATAGGTTCTGGGTGTATTTTTAGAAGGTTTGTGGTGTGTTTTTTTGAGTGTATTCCCCCACCAAAAGAATGTGCGATGCTTTTTTTGGGGGGAAAGGACCCGTTAAAGGAACAGCTCGGTAATGCTTCTGCTCTTTTTTTGTTTTGTTTTGGTTTTTTCTTCCTTTTTATTTTTTTCATCCCCTTTTTCTTTTTCCTCCTTTTTGTTTGTTCAGTAAACCCCAATTACTCAGGAGGGGAACCGAAACGCTCCCGTACAGCCTACACCAGGCAGCAAGTCCTGGAGCTGGAGAAGGAATTTCACTATAACCGCTATCTCACCCGGAGGCGCAGGGTCGAGATCGCCCATTCCCTCTGCCTCTCCGAGCGCCAGATCAAAATCTGGTTCCAGAACAGGAGGATGAAATGGAAAAAAGATCACAAGTTACCAAATACCAAGATCAGGTCTAATTCTTCCAGCTCCTCTGCCAGCCTGCAGATCCCACAAGGAGGATCTCAAAACCGATCCCATGGACCAGCCACCAGCCTATAACTAACTATTCCTTGGATGGATGGGTGGATGGATGGATGGATGGATGGATGGATGGAGTGTGTGTGTTTGTGAGTTTGTGTGTG